CCCCCGACATCTACTGCAGACGCGCCACCGAGGGCCGCACAGTGTCGACGTGGAACCAACCAACGTGGAGGAAGTTGTAAATCAAATTGCTCAATTTGTATTGACTCATCTGCAGGGCGAAAGGTCGAGCAGTGTCCTCATCATGTCGCCAGCTACTCCCAGTATGCCGTATCGCGGGTCCGCGATTGTCACCAAACAGCCTCCATTGGCTCGGCGCTCGATGCACGTCTTTGTGGTGCCAAAGATCATACCAACTGCTCGGCCGGCGAAAGATGCTTGGGAACAGTGGTTTTCCGTCGATCACAAACATGGCCGCCCATGTGCCCTCATAGACTACATGAAATCAATGATCAAGTCAGACCGCAAAAAATATTCCAAACGGCAAACGATCGCGATAGCATTCAACAAGTATCAGTCGTATTCAAATATGGGGAATGTCTATGAGCTCACTGAGTCCTGGGCGCTTTTGGGCTCTTGAAGTGTCGACGACCTCGGTCTCGGGTGCCTTCGGGTGGCGCACTGTCTTGTGGGCTGCGATGGAAAGTGTGATCTGCGCACCCCAGATCTTGATCCAATTGCTCATCTACAATATCAAAGAATAGTATGGAATTACGAAACACGAACCCCTCAAAATATATGGAGTTACGAAACAAGTTTGTTTCGTAAAGCCTAAATATGTAAATACAAACGTTAAATTTTGTATGATTCTGGAAATATGCTATCATATTATGGTTTTACGAAACACAGGTATCCGGAAAGATATCAACTGCAGGTTCTTATTGCATTGTTCTGGCTGTGGCGCCATGGCCAGTCGGAGCCACTTGGTGATGGCCGTAAAGTGAAAGCATAGTGAAGTCAATGTGTCTGTGGAGCCTGGCGCGACATAATAGCTCTCCGCGTGGTCAGCAATACGAGGAGGCAATACGACAAAACGATTGCACGATTGACACTTTGTTTGGAAAAGGATCACCCACCGTGTATGGTCTGAGGACCCAAAATACTACCCCTCAGTGTGTCGGTATGTAAGGCCATGTTATAACACTCAAACATCAAGAGAACCGCCTCGGCGCCGAATGTATTCCATCCAATACAACTCATTCGCCACCATAAGTGCTATCCAAAGCACAATAAAGTATTTCTACACTGAGCGCAGTTGATCTCGAAACAATGATGACAGATAGCACAGTAACCTTCTCAAATGACTAACATGTTGCAGAGTTTAGTGCTTGTACGCGTCGCCCTTGTCCACTTCCACCGGATCCCCCTTGTTGTCGTTGTTGATCTGTTTCTCGTACGTTTTAATCAAGATGGGATGACTCCACGATCGACGTCATTTTGTTGCACACGCATCACGCGTTGTGCCAACTTGAGCGTCGAGATTGTCTCCTCCCAAGTCTTTGCTCTTGCCCTAGAAAGTACAAAGGCAAGAAATCCGTGATGATGCGACCCATGTCGAACGCCCTGCGTGACAGAATTGATGATACGATGAGTGACGATGCATTGAAAGGGAGCCGAAAACGTGGGTAAGGTATGCATAATGTATCGATCTCGATTACAGAACGCTCCGTACAAGAGAGCTCGGGGAATCGGCACCAGTCCTTGGAACTATGATGACGTCAAGAATGCTCGCAGGATTCCTCGAGGGATGGAATACCTTGGGCAAGTGCGACGGATGTATGTTAATGACCCTGCCGCACGTTAGCCAGAATGTGCGGAACCTACCGACGCAGTGTGAGATTGTAAAAACGAACGGAACATATGATGAAGTAACCAAACGACAACACAACGCCGACGTCGGAGACCCCGTTCGTGGCTGGCATGCCTAGAGTGATTTACTACCACACCACCGTCAACATTGTTGACACACACAGCCCTCGGGCGGGAGACGTACAATTGTCTGGGATGTGATGAACCTGTAGGTTATGATTCAGCGACAGCTGCTTGACTGAAAGTGGTGCCTTATTGCGCGCCTTGCCCATACTTTTGTCGGAGGAGAGATGATCTGCTGGATCAAGTGGTTCGTCGCGGTGCATGAGAAGGTCATATCTCGTCGAGCACGTCATCGATGTCCACGATATGGGAAGTCTTCGATAGCCCAATCCTGCGTGCACGGATGTAAGAAGGGCAGCAAGACATGTGGCACTCCTCGACAATGCTACTTACATGTTTGCATGCAACTGCTTGAGCGTTGCCAGTGATATGCTGTCGGTGCCAAAGAAGATAGCATCGAACAGCGACGTTGCAGTCGTTGCATATCGCAAGGTTGCCTGCGACGCAAACACCGACACTCACGGACGCCCAACGAGACACGCCGTACTTCCAGTCGGCGAGCTGTAGCAGCGGTAGCCAAAGCTGGATGGAGTTGTGCAAGTAGTCGACCTATGTGAGCTGGTTTCGTGAAAGACTGCCGTATGCCATAA